ATTGAACATAGGGCCTTGCACATGCTAGACAATCACTTACCCCTTACATCTTCTGCCCTCTTTTTCTTTCCCTTCCCCTTTTCTTCACTTCTCTTTTCTCTTTTGTTTCTTTCTTCCTATTGAATTAATAAATCAGAGATTACCAGAGACAGAATGTGTGTCCGGATTTCAGTAAGAAATTTGCCTCCTTTTGCTGCCTGCTGCGCAAGTGCAAGGACCCGAGTTGAATCCCCGGTACCAAAAAAAAAAAAAAGAAATTTGCCTCTTGGAAGGCAGGATAGAGGAGTGTGAACTTGATAATAGTACATGGTTGGAAAATCTCCAAGTCTGTCAACTTGGAAGGAGGGAATCTGCAAGATTCTTGCATCTTGTAAATGGCTGTAAGGTTTGAGTAAGGATAAGACTTAGGCTAGACTAATTTTCAGCTGAGGAAGAATAGCTAATATGTTAGATGACAGAATCACCATTCAGAAGGAACTAATAAGATGAAATGTTTATAAGACTAAGTTCTGAGGTTAGGTTGAAAAAGAAAAAGATGAACAAGCAATATATGAGACTTGGTTAAAAATCTTGCTTTTGGAAGAGATCCTGGGGCTTATAGTAAAATATAACAATATACTATAATATCTATATAACAAGTAGAGAGATAGGTAAAATTGCAAATAGTAGGCACCAAGATGTTGCTTTGAAAAAAAAAAAAGTTTTGTTTTAGGACCAGCAAAGTGTGAAGGTCAAGACTACATTTTCAGAAAAGGACTTAAGTTGGGTATGGTGGTGCACAAGTTGAATGAAATCCTAGCACTCAGGAAGCTGAGGCAGGAGGATTGCAGCAAGTTCAAAGCCAGCCTGAACTCCATAGCAAGACCCTGTCTCAACCCCCCCCAAATATATACATATATAGTGTGTATATATTATACATAGTTTTAGAGAGTGTAACTGAATTGAAAAAATACACATGTCTAAAAAATACACGTGCTCTCTTCCTTACATATATACCTCCTTGGCTGCACACAACCATATTAACTTACAGTGAGAGACGATGATAATTTAAGTCAATGAAGTTCTGGTAATCCACACTGAGAATATAGAATTTTTTTTTTTGGTACTGAGGATTGAACTCGGGACCTTGTGCTTGCGAGGCAGGCAGTGGCACCACTGAGCTAAATCCCTGGCCCAAAAATAATAGAAATATGAATCCCCTCCTCATATCATGCACAAAAATAAATTCCTGTTGAGTTAAAAATGTTAATGTGAGGGGAAGACGAAGTAAAAGTGATTAAGATGTGCTATGTAAATTATCAGTTCCTCAGGATGAATGTAATTATTATGTATCACAAACATAAGAAACAAAAAATATAGTAAATTAAAAAAAATCTTAATGTGGGGAAAAAACCGGAATCTTTTATAAAAACTATGAAAGAATAACAAAGACTGGCAGTATCAGTACCTATTTGGTACAGTCACTTTGGAGGGTAGTTGATAATATCCCATAAGTTGAAAATTTTTATACTCAAGACCCAGCACAGTAAATTTAATTAATTGATTCATACACAGTAAATATTGAGTGCATACTATATACACAGCACTGGTACAGTGCAGTATTTTTTTTTTTTTT